CAGGTAAGATTTTCAATAAGATTTACTACCTTTTATTTGCTTATAACCTATGATGATGTTCTGTTGAATGTGCATTTAATTTTTAAACACTTATGCCATGACTACTTTGTGCAGCCAGACTTTATAGCTGGTTTATGCACCCAGCACTGAACCGATAGGTGCACAGAGATCATGGAGACCTCATGGAGATCTCACAGGCTTTGTTTTTTGAGCAGCATTGATGAAGCTTTCCCTTGGTCATTCATCATGCTGCTACAGTTGATTCTCACCTTGAAGTTCATGGTAAGTAGCTCTTTTGTGACATTTTGGAAGGTGAGAAACACGTGATAAAAACAACCCGGTCCAAAACAAGCATCAGTGAAATAGAAGATGGGTTAGCAAGATCTCGGGGAAACAGGCATCCCACCAGAAAAGCCAACAGGGAAGATCTCCTGGAATTCTACCTCCGTATGCAGGATGAGCAAGATGACATCTTCACTCTGCCATGTCCCAACTCCTTGAGGAGAGGTAACTAGAAAACTCCCTACATAGATTCCCACAATTTGGGAAATAGATACTCCTGAGAAGGGCACACTGATTAAAAGAACAGGTTATCTTTGCTTTGATTCTTAATGGCCTACTGAAATCTAGGCTTGGGAGACAAGGGGTTCCCAAATTCTGCTTACATAATTCAGATTCACTGCCGCAAGCAGCCTTACCATGTGATTTTATCGACATGTGACCTAATCAGAATGAAAGGGAACATCAATTGTGTAGGATACAACAAACATTGAAAAGGATTATCAGAGTTTGACCTTCTGAAGACAAAAATAAACATTCCTACTGAAATTCCCTAGAGAAAGATTTATGTTAAGAAAAAAAAAAATAGCTTGTGTGTGTTTTGAACCTGCATCAGCTGACAGGGCTGGTTTACAGCAAGGTACATTACACCAAAAAAGGCAGAGGGGATGGTCTTCAGGAAGGAAGTAGACACAAGGACCATGAACACAGATTGTGTTCCTGCTGTCCTCCAAAGAATGCAGCTTTGCCCCTAAAGAAAACTTACACTGCTTCATGAAAAAAGAGGAACACTCCTGCTCTGTTCTCCCTAAATGAAGGAGTTCAGAAGATTTTGCAGGAGCCCAAATTGTCATATGTAAGCAAACAGATGCCTGAGTTTACTGTTCTGGGTCAGCTACAGGGGCAATGCCCAGCACAGGATAATCTTGGTATTTTCAGGTACAACCAACCTGTCTGTCTACAACTAGATTCCAGTTCTACTTATGTTTTGTTAAACAGACATCAAAGTACTTCAGTGTTTCATAAAGATGCATGAACCACCTGGAGATGTCATCCATGAAGAAGTTGTTATTGAGACTGAAGTTACTGAAATAGAGAAGAAAAATAATCTCACTGAAGCTGTAAACCAAATGCAAGAATAACAAATCACCAGCTAGAAGGGCTGAAAAAAAAAAAGAAAGCAATTTTCCAAAAGATGAGTGTGACTGTGTGGGTGAGACAGTTGCCAAATACAAAATTCTGTTGTCAATGATCACAAGACTCTGTGGTGGGGGGCACGCAAAAATAACTATTAACAACTATTAACTATTGTAAAAGTATTTCTGCTTGAACATAATGCTCATTTATAATTTTGGAGAGATGTACTCTGTTAGCTAAGAGATGTACCAATTCTATCTGTGTGAAAAGAGAATAAAATTATGATTTTTCTGATCTTTGTAATTCAGTAAATGTAAAGAGCAGTTGAAACTACAATACTATATTAATATTTTAGTTCTCAGTTCTATAAGACTATTTAAGGTGTTTATTTATCATAATATACAATATATTGCCAAACACAATAAATTGTGCTCTTTGCTTCTTGTATAATATTCATAAGGCTGCATTACCTCAAAGCAAGGCTATCGGATTGGATTGGATACCTATGGCTAAGTCCAAACCGTGGGGGTCAGTTCCTGGGTTTTGTGTGTATCCAAACTTTGCCAGAGTGACTGAGATGATTGTTGTGTGGGACAGTATGGCAGCAAGAGAGGAACCCTTGCCTCATTTCAAAAGGAACCCAAGGAGCCACATGCTTATTTATCCATTGCGTTCGCATCACTTTGTCCTAGAAGAGAGTAGCATTGTGCTCCCAACAAAGCCATTGCCCAAATGCAAACTGCTCTCCACTAGGTATTGTTTTGGTAAAGTTCAGGTGAAAGGGTGGGCCACTCCTCTCACAAGTTTCCTGCAGGCAAAAGGAGCTGCAGTGTTAGACCTCAGGGCACAGGCCACATGTATTATGCATTGCTCAGTATATTATACAAGCGCCGTGGATTTCAGCTCTTAGCTACATGTTCCATCTTTAGAACTAAAATGCCTTAATGAAAACAACTGCTGGCTGGTCACAAAGCTCTGAAGCTTAACACAAGGCCACAAATTCAGCAGTAGTGTATCCACTTACAGTCCAGTGATGCGAGTCTGAAACCTACCTACATTTTGGCACAGGGGATGCCAAACAAGGAAAGGGAGAGAAATGGGTGACCTGCTCAGCTTCTTCAGTTGCAGGGCATCGAAGCACAATCCCATGGGATCCTGATATCCCTTCTGCTGTTGAGTCCATTTTGCAGGTCTTCCTTTTGTTCTTCATTTTTTTAACATAGGAAATTTTCAGAGAGAGACACTGCTCTCAGAGGTCTCATTCTTCAGCTATGTCCATCCCTAAGATGCTGTCTGGAGAGTCAGTCATTTCCCCATGTAACTGGGTGATGTTCTGAACACAAGAAAAACAGGACAGTGCAATCATTCAAATATTCAAATACCTATAAATAAAGTTATAATGCTTTAGTAACAGTCACTGCTTGCAGATCCACTCTAATCTTTAGAGATCTTATCACCATAATTTTTGCCTATTTGTATTATTTTTTTTACATTTCCCTGTATAATAAAAAACTAAAATAAAAATGCTCTTTGTTTACTAAGGGAAGTTGTTCCATAGTTCTCCGAAAAAAAAAAAAATTGTCTTTTTAGACTGTAGTTGGAACTATAATACTTGGAATAATCAGCAGCACTAAATTTAAGAAAGGTGTATTCTGATTAAAAATTAATTGTTCCTTTTATATTGCAATTTATTGATAAATAAGGCAAAGGGTAAGCAAGTACTTTTCATGTGGTGTAGCTCAAAAAAGCAAAACTTCAAGGTGGTGTTAGGTCAGATGTTGGACTCGATGATCTCAGAGGTCTTTTCCAACCTAGTCGATTCTGTGAATGAAAGCATTGTTTTCTTCCCCTATCCCTATGAGGATCTGACAAGGAAAGCACCTGAGCTTCACTGGACTCAATGATCTTAAAGGTTTTTTCAACCTAAATAAATCAGGTAAGATATGATTCCAATCTAACTAAGACAGTCCACAGAAAAGCAAAGGTCCATGGATTATGACGAGGCAGCACAGCGACTTTACAGTGATCCCAAGTGAAAACCCTGTGGACTGCAGAGAAAGGAAGGAAAACACTTGAGTGGAGGAAATCATTTTAGTTACTATACATATCTTTTAAGAGTTGTTATTTTTATCTTCTTATAGTTGTTAATTTAATAAAGATAAATCAGAAAAAAATCTAGAGGAAGTGAAAGGAGAGAACGGAGAGGAAGGTCAGGAGCAAGGTCACCTTGGGATTAATTTCTGCAACACACTGAACATGGGCACACATCTCATCTTTGTAAGAAACTGAAGATTAAGATTTAACTCTCTATTAGCAATATACTGCTAAATTCTGAACATTTTGAACTATTGACAGTAAACTAGCACCTACTCCCTTAGGTGCTTACCTTCTTCCTGGTATTTGAAGAGGGCATAACAGAGGCTACAGGCTGAAACAATATCTGCTTCCTGCTCTCATGAGTCCCACTGTACTAAATGTTAAAACATAAGCCCAGTGCAACTTTTACAGGCTTTCATACAATATACTGAAATTGTTTGGGGCTCCTGGGTGCTATGGTCACATATGTTCATAAAAAGAAAACAAAAAGCTGAAGAGATCTGTACATTTAAATCTAAGGCCACTTACAGCTATTATCCTTCACAGGTAGCAGGAACCAGTAAGCCCTGGGAATTTAGGCCATACAAGCACATCTCACAGTGTTTGGAGCTGACTGGTTTGTAAAAGGTTTAGGGCAGAAAACTTGGGCATTAGTATGTGTAATTTCTCCTGTTCTGCTAGTTGCATATTTTCATTTATATACTGAGACTGTCAATAAGTAAAATTAGTTTTTATTTCCCTTAATAAATGTGTTTTTTTCATTTTAATTGCTTGAGGATTTTTTTAGTCATCATTAATTGGAAAGACTGAAAAAACATTTTAAAATCAATTTTAAGGGACCAAGCTAACGTGCATACAAATATTAACCATCTGAAACTCAAATCATACCTCAGTGTTGGCTTGCTCCGGAAATGCAGATACATTCCTGCCATGAGGATGCCAGGATGGCAAAGCCAAATAACATTAATTTTTAAATTTGCATCCAACTTTCCAAGAAATTTATGTAAAGTTCAGCAGAAAGCTACATACATTACGTTTCAGATTCAGATTCATCTTAAAAGATGATTGTTAAATAAAAGTTCCTCCTTGCAGATGAGAGTTTTCAGTCTGGAGAAATCCAGGTAGATCACTCTTTTCCATGTAACATAAAATCATTAACTGCATCACTGACCATGTTTAGTGTTTATCTGAAGCTAGTCTTAAATTATTTAACAAGTAAATAACTACAGTCACAGTTAACTAAATTAAACAAGTATAAAAAGTGCTGGATGATTATGTCTTTTAACTCCTTTTCTGGAAAATAATTTAGAAAGTAAGAAAACTGAAGGCAACTTTCAGAAGTCAAAAGATGACATGAAACTTGTGGGTTTGTCCCAAAATGAGCAATAATGTCTGAAGAGCAGAGCACTGAAATGATGCATAAACTGGAATGGAAACTTCCTCTTTAAAGATATGATATATTTAAAATAAATAAATCCTGTAATCCATAAAGTAAAATGGCATATTTTATAATTTTTTAAAAATTCTTGTATGAGGCTCACAGGCCTGAGAATACACGCAAAATAACCTGTCCGAAGTATTCCTTAAAAAAAATTATAAATTATTGGTAACAGTTTCTTTAATGGAGATTGCAGGGGTAGGTCCCACATGAGTCCATATATAGCCCTTCTCTGGCCTTGTAGGAACAGTGGGGAAGGGAGATGATCGAGATTTGAAATATTCTGAAGGCGCGTGACAAACAAATTCTAAATATTCCATTTTCCTTGGGAGATCTTCTTCTGGTCCTAGGAAAAAAAATAAATCATCAAAGACAAAATTTAAAGGCATAAAGTTGGAGTATGCAGGACTCAAAAATATGCAACAACAACATTTAGAGAATTTGCCTTTGCAATCAATGACTTTCCTGGCCAAGGGGCCTAAAATACTAGGCAAGAAACATCTACCTTTATTTTTGCTGGGCTGGTCTTTTTTTTTCCCCTTCATCTGAAGCATTCAGTTATTTATGTGAAGTACTGTAGTTATTTTCAATGTATGTTATTTTGAATGCTATTTGTGGCCTGCCTGTCAAAAGGATTTTTCTGAATTATTGTTTTCTTATTGTTAGCAAAACACTCTCTATGCCAGTGCTTGCACACAGTGTATTTTACATCCTCAGGATAAAGATCAGGTAATTCAGGTAACTTTAAAAGAAACAACTTGGACTGGTATATCAGAATCAAAGTTACTACAGTCTAAACCTATCTATAGAATAATAATTTGATCTTTAAAGTCCCAAAAGTGTAACTGCCCCCATGAGCACACTCAGATAATCACAGTACAAGATAATCACACTCACTGCAGTAGTGCTAATGATATTATTCACACATACAGTAAATGCTTACAGGATTAGGGTCTTAAATGTGGAACTTGCACAAATTAAATGAGAAGCTATAAAGTTCATTTAAAAAATACAATTCTGCATTAGTCTAGGCACATACAATACTTGTGTAAAGTGAAGGCTTAGAAATTACCTATGATATAGGATGCTGGGTCAAAACAGTCTTTGGGGCTGGCTTGTGTAGGAATGAGCCAGGTTAGTGCAGCACTCTTTTCACAGTATTGGTCCTGAATAAACCCACGGATCTGAGCATAGTATGTTTTTCCATCCTGCTCATCAACCACCGAGACAACATCTCCAATCTGATAGTATACACCCTAGAAGACAAATAAATTACACTGAAATCAAACAACCTGATTTTGTCAGCTTCGTTCTGTGATTCTGATTCATATTTTAGGTATCGATACCTAAAAGTTCATCTCAAATTACGCCAGTCTTGAAAGGTAGCTTTAATTCAGCCACATGCAAAAGAAGGGTGGCCTAAGAAAGACAGCTGTTTCACCTAACCACTCATCAGCACTGCTTGTACAGTCCCCCAGTATCCAGGAGTTTGAGGCTACAACTCCTGACCGCAGAGCAGAGATGGTCTCATTCTGTCAAAAGCAGAAGAGTGCAACACCACCTTCTAGGAAAAGCAACTGTAGTGGTTTCCTTGGGTGTGCAGGGGAAGCAGCTTTCTGTGTATGAAGAAGTTCACTCATTTGAATGCAAAAGAGTTCCAAAACACAGATCCATCTCCTGCCATTTTCCATGGTGCTCTCTCTAACACGTGAGGCTGCACATCAGAGGCGACTCACTCCGAGCTGCAGCGGCGTCACAGAGCCCAATGCAGCCCCTGCACTGTCAAGATCAGTTAGTCAAGAATCATCCAGGAGGGTTGTTTTTTATTTTTCAAACAGATAAAAAGAACACAACCCCCCCTCAAAAATCCCCTTCACAACAACACAGTAAAGTACTGAACCAGCAATATTTTGCATATGGAGGTTAAGTTGAAGCTTTGTTATAATTCTTAGATATTTCTGCTAAAAACACACAAGTCAGTAATTCTTTTCTGAACCAGTCAACAGCAAACATTCATCTGGGACGTCAGGTGTGAAGCATCAGGTCCCTAGAGAGTATATAGAATCTCAGTCCACCACTGGCTGCACAGTCTTCCACTGACTATCCTGAAATTTTCTCTGGGGGGAAAAACAAATTGTTTGCTTGTACTGCTGGGAAAAAAAACAAATTTCAGAACCTTGAAATCCTAACATCTTGGCATGCTGGTGAAGCTGCCCTCAAGCATGAATGATGTGAGAAGTCCCCCTTCTGCTTTCATTGCAGAAGTCCACAGATCTTGTTCCCAGGGTGTTCGAGACTGATTCCATCAGCTTGGAAACAGGAACCAGTTTAGATGTTGGGGCACTGCAGCTCATCCCCTCTATGGGCAATATCCTCTGTGCCTAAGGTAGGAAACATTACACAAATCTACACAGTCAGCTCTAGTCAAGTTTTGCTTGACCTCTGCAATGTGAAAATCAAAAAGTTTAAAAATGTTGATTGCAAAAATTACTAAGGAAACCAGATGCATCTTTTTCTTGAAAGAAAAAACAACAAATGGGATAATGGTAACTATGTAAACTACTTGGGTAAACTACCTTGCAAGACTTAAAAGCAATAACTAAGGCAAAACAAAATCCTACACAACTGCTAGGCAAGGAAGAACAGTTTCTGTGAATATATCCCTAGTGCTTTCACTATCTGTGATAATTCTTGAAATTCGAAATAGAAACAGCATGATCTTTTTTGCAAACAGATTTGCATTAACCATACCTTATAAAAGATTGACTCTGCTGTAATTATAGTGGATACGGACTCAGGAGCCTTGATGGGCTAAGAAAAGAACATAGAAATAGAAAATCAAGAGCGTTAAAACCAAGCAACCATAAAATACCAGGATTTTTTTTTCTTTTTAGACAACATACTGATGTATTATTCTCTAAGAAAATTACAAACACAAGAATTTTTACTTTAAAACTGAAAACAACAGCGTTTTCAGTTTTCATCCCCAGGACTTTACGTGGAGAAGCGAGCACAGAACTCTCGTGACCGGTTTATATTTACAGCTCCTCCTGCAGGCTCCGGGTCCGCCCCAGCCCGGCACAGGCTCCCGACCCACTCCCGTCCCCGCCCCGCTCCGCCACACACCGACTCACGTTCTTCAGCTTGAAGATGTGCCTCCTGCCCTTTCCCTTCGTGGAAACCTTTTTCTCCGCGGCGGGCGCCGACTTGTACTTGGTGTTCCTGAGCCGCGCGGAGCGGCGGTGGATCTCCTGCTTGCTCTGCGGGGAACGGCGGGATGAACACGCGGGGGAACACCGAAACACCCCTGCCCCGCCCAGCCCCGGCAGCTCCATCACCCTCAGCCTGCTCACCCTCACCCCGTCACCCTCACCCTTGTCACCCTTCCCACCTGCTTCCCGCCGCCGCCGCCGCCGCCCCCATTGCTGTGCTGGGCGGCGGCCGAGGTGGTGGCGAAGGCGGCGGGCGCGGGCGGCGCCGAGCGCGCCGTGCAGTTGTTGCACAGGATCTCGCCCTGCCCGCCCTTCTTCCACATGGAGGAGGACGTGCTGCGGCACACGCTGCAGGTGGGCTTCAGACCCAGCGGCATCGTGCGCCCGGCGCGGGGCCCGCGGGCCCGGCTGTGAGCGGCGGGAGCGCGGCGGCCTCACGGGCCCCGGCGCCGGCCCCTTCCCGCCGGCGGCGGATGTGGCGGCGGCGAGGCCGGAGCGGCGGGGCCGGCCCTGCCCTCTGCTGGCGGCGGCGGCGCTCGGCCCCCGCCGGGAAAGGAGCCCTCGGCCCCGCAGGGAAAGGAGTCCTGGCCCCCGCAGGGAACATCTCACCCGTCGGCAGAAGCCGTGGCAGAGAGAGCGTTGCCTCTCAGGGATAGAGGCGGGCAGGGGGAGACCCAGTGGGAGCGGCTGGGGCTGTTCTGCCTGGAGAAGGGAAGAAGGTCTCTGCTGCGTGGAGACCTTACAGCAACCTCCTGAAGGGGCTCTGCAGGGTAGAGCCTACAAACCTAAAGAGGAGAAATTTAGGTTAGATATTAGTAAGAAATTTTTTGCTGTGAGAGTGGCGAGACACTGGAAGAAGTTGCCCAGGAAAACTGCGTGTGCCGCAACCCTGGCAGTGTTCAGAGCCAAGTCGGACAAGGCCTTGAGCAACCTGTTCTAGTGGGAATGTCCCTGCCCATGGCAGGGTGTTTGGGGCTAGGTGATCTTTAAGCTCCCTTAACATTCTGTGATTCTGTGAAGCAGAGCACAGAAGCTGCCTCTGGTACCTGTGCCATTCCCATCTGCTGGCGGACACCAGGCACTGTCATCCAAGGATTTACGGCAGTCATCCTTCCTGCTCAACACAAAGTCAGAGGGCAGGAGACAGGCTCCAACAGTTGTCCTGTTTCAGAAGAATAGTACCCTCAACATACATGAAGTTTTGGTCTTCATTAAGCCAACCGCCCCTCTTGCATGAACCCTTTGTCACATATCAAATAGTTTAAAACCTAAGGTAATGAATGTGTGTCTTTGTGAAACTTTCAGAGCTACATGGAGGAACCATGGATCTAACATCCTCACCCTGATGCCGCTCACATGGTCTCTGACCATCCCATGGAGATGTTTGTCTAGTCTGATGTTAAGAAAGAAATGCCCATTCGTGCACGATGATTTGCAGCCTCTTAGTTCCCATACTCAGTGTTTGTTTTAGGTTTTATTTAAACCTTCTTTGGTGCAAATTAAATTGATTTCTTTTTGTCCTGTTCTCAGTGGACACAAATAGACATAATTTCCAGGGATCTATTTACAGATGTTCCATTCATGCAGTGTGCAGTGGCTAGAGGCCTTGCCTGGGTTGGTACTGGCTCATAGACAGCTACGCTTAACCTCTTGCACTCCTATCTTTCATACCAGCTTTGACTTTCTTGTCTTGGGTCCCCAACTTATTTCCTCAATTTTGATTTAAATCCCGATTTACCTTCAAGCTGTTTATACTTCTTGGGCATTGTTTTTGTTTCCTGCTTCTTTAGTGCATCCCTCTGTAGTTTTATCTTGCTGATCAGTGATCTCACAGAGACCTTTAAACTCTTTCCACCACCACTTTTTTCCCAGTTTCTGCCTGCTTTTCTTCCCAACCACCCACCTCAGCAGTCCTCCACTACTGGGGCCCCTCTCAGTGCCATCACGTTGGCATAGCGTCAGTGGTCTGTGTAGAAATGGCCTAGAAATGAATGACAGTGTCCATTTCTGTCCAGATAAGTATTTAATACTTTGTGAAAGTTTTCATTTTGCGACTTTTTATAAGATACATTGCTAATGGATAACAAGTAAAATTGGAAATAGGTTTTTTCAACTCCAGTTTTGCTGTAGCCTTCCTACCATCTTCCCAACTCTGGGGCTTCTAACCCTTTGGTCTTTCCAAAACAATGCTGCAGGGTCTTTTCTGCCACAAATGTAGAATGTGTGTATTTTACATATATCTGTATATTCTTAAATATGCTACTGCATATTGTGATAACTTGTTTGCTATGATTTTTCTTTCTACTTTTAAATTATAACTTGAATTAAAAAACTCAAACCAAAAAAGCTCAAGCTTTAAGAAAGCTAATTTGAGGTGATAATTCAATGGGGTTTAGCCAACCATATTTAAGTTATGTTGTCAAAAAGGGTTTTATTTCACCATTTCTTGGGGCTTTGACTATCATTTCAATGTAATTCAAGGTCAAACAACACCTTGAGATTACAGTGCACTTCTTTTGGCCTCATGAAAGACCAGGGAGAGGCAAGGATGGCTGTGAGTGCTGTTTGATCACTCCCTACCTCACCTGAGAGATAATGGAAAGAGCAGTGGTTAGCATATTTTGTCAAAAAATTAAACCCAGCATGTCTTTTATTTTAGTTCTGCCCAACAGAACTAGCATGGGTGACCTTTTTTGGTTACTTTTGTGTAGGCAATAGCTGAAATGTTTTGATTTAAGAGCTGTCGAATACCTGGCAATTATGGGTAGCAGGGAAGGAGGGCTCAGGACCTCTTAAAAGTACTCCTCTCTAAGTTCCTCTCTGGCAGATCCCAAGTTTTAGAATGTTGATCCTAAATTTTGAGCATCCTCTTCAGTTTTCTGATTCTCCTTAATAGAACTAGCCTGTCTTTGAAGTGGGTTGAAAGGCAACTCTTAGTCTGTGGCCTGATTGGAACTGGAAGTGCCTGATTTAGCTGAGGGATTTCACACAGTGTAAGCTCAGATGAAGTTGGAGAGTAAAACTCTTTTCTTGCAATTAATGGGAATTTCCACTTCATTTTATTTTTGCTCCGGTAAGAGAAAGGGCTGCCCATTGGAGTCATCAGAACCCATCCCTGCTCTGAGATACTTCAGATGTAAATAGACAGGAGAAAAAAGTGGAGAAAAAAAATCTTGGCTCCACCTGGGGAGGGGACTGTGTTAGAAACACACTGGCTGTCGATGCAGAACCCTTTCTTCCTGGGACCTCTCAGTGAGTTTTTTATTGGAAATGTTGCACATCCACACACACTCTGTTCATTTCCTGCTTGAGGAGTTGAATTGCTGTGCAGTGGATTTCATTGCATTGTTTCCTCTTAGCTTCCTACTGCTATCTGGTAGTCTGCTGGCACACAGCTGAAGAATCCTCTGTTCTTATTTTCAGAGTGTCACCATTCCACAGTCAGCTGCAGAGGATGCACCTGGAATGCTTTTCCAGAAATATTTGTGTTGTAAATGCATGAAATTGGGTATGAATCTGATGGACTGGTGCATTCTGCATTTCTGCATGGTCCTGTACTATGGTACTTACTACGTCTTTTGTGAGAAAAGCAGGTTTTATTCTTAGTTCCCATAGCCAAAACTGACGCTATTCTTGAGATACGCTGCACAATTATTACTTGCATAGGTAGCATGCACCTTTCTTGCAGCTTCTGGGTCTTAATTACTCCTTCAAGTGTATGGTAGAGCCAAGAACCCCAGATTTTGTGAAGTCTTTGGTTTTTGGCCCTGTGGGACATGGATAGTTAAATCAATGGCAGAGATAACATAAAATGACCACAAGTACTTGGTTCTTTTAAAGCATGCCAAAGCTGTCTCTGAAGTGACTTCTGTGTCATTCTTCTGAATGCTTCTGTGATACAAGAACAGCAAGAAATAACACCTTTTAACAAAAGTTAGTATTTCTGCCCTTGTCATGTTTTGTTGGTTTGGGCCCTCAGGTCTTATTCCTGTAACAACTGGCAATTTGTCACCATTACATCTCCTTGCAAATGTGGATCTCATAGTACCAGCTTTCTGTTTAGCAGGTTATCTTCACAGGTTACTGTTTCTGCTTCATTTGAGACAGTTCTTGAGGACTTGGAGCAGTTTTGATATTAAGTCTTTGAACAGTAGTATTTCTAATTCAGTCTTTGAATTAGTAGTTCCGGCTAAACTGCATGCCACTAAAAATACTTCAGGCTTGGTTTTTAGCCTATACAATGCTGCTGCAATGATGTGGGCCTTGGGTGCAACCTCACTTGTGACTTTGGAAGTAACTCTCTTTGCACTAGTGCCAATAGAGGGTACTGCTGTTAACTGTGACTATGGAAACTCATTTTCTTTGTTTTTTGTTAAAGAATGTTTTCGTGTCTCCATTACAAGCCTGTATGATGCCAGAAGGCACAACATGCACATTCCCACTGTACATGTAAATTGACTTGTTAATCACATAGACTTTCTTTTTAATTAATTCGTAAAAATATATAAGGGAAATCTGCCAGTTGTACGTGATTTCACAAGAAGTGCAAACCAACCTCAGTTATTTACTGGTTTATTACTGTTTACACTGAGATTTCAAAAACAGGAGATAAGTTTATCCTTTTCATTTAACTACACTTAACAGGTTACTTGGGATTGTCACTGTACTATTTTTTAATGAACTTTCCCTCTGAGGTAGGCAGCTCCCTGCTCACTTTGTACAAATAGGGTGAACATGGTTTTTACTTAGGCCATCAAAGAGTCATGGTCAGAGAGAGAGCCTCAAACTCCAGGTGCCTGAACTGAAAATAAAGACCACTAATTTCAAAGTAAGTTTGTTTTGCTTTTTAAATTGGAGAATGTGAAGTTTTCTGCTATAACATGTATAAACTCTAGCATTCTTTGCAATCACGTTAGTGAATCTGGGCTGGATAATTAATATGACATTGCTGTTTGTTTGCCTCCCTAAAGGCATGTTGAGGTTGGCTACATGGACTGCCACATTAAACCATGTAGACAATAAGAGTGACTGTAGAATTTGCAGAGTAAAAATACTAGTGTTCAAACAAGACCTTCTTTCCAATAGATTATTATAAATAAAACTGATCTTATAATTAGAGCAGAAGGTGCAGTGGCCAAAATATAACTGATGAATAATTTGCATAGTTCACTGTTACTCAGAGAAAAACATCTGGGTTCATAAACTGATAAATACTCCCTGAAACTATGTAAAGGTAAATCATTTTAATGGAGTGAACAATTCCAGTGTAAAAACCCCAGGACAAAATCCCCCATCATTTTTCCACTACCTCATGGTGGATAAGACACTTATGCTTGGATGAAAATATCACTATAATATGAATTCTGAAGATTATGTATGCACAGTACTGAACACCTACATTTAATATTTTCTTGCTTATGTTCCATTTATCTAGATATTCATCTAAATGATCTAAA